CATCATTGAATACGCACATACCAAGGCACAACCATACACATAAGCACGCAAATAGGTGCAAGTGGATTTGGTAACTCGCCTTCGCGAATCCATCAGACACCTGCATCTGTGTTATGCGCAAAGGCCTGAGATCTTTTATCGCCTTTCCCAACATCGCGGCTTCACGGATGAGTCGCTCTAAAGACTTTTGAACTGCTAATGCTTTTTGCAAATCCTACAATTGAGAAGGACAAAATGAAGCCTAGGATGGAGAAGGCTTAATGGAGGAGAAATATGGAGTCTCAGTGGAAGAGATTTGCAATCCACCACCTCACATCCAGCATCACTCACTGTGGTCTGCTTTACCCACGCGTAGGCGTCTTGTGACCTTCTAACTTCGGTGAACAGGTTTGTCACACGTTGTGCGAGTTCGTCTATGCTTCTGCATCCGTCCTCATCCGCCTTCTCCAGTCTTGCCCTGGTAGCATCTAGAGCTATGCCAGCTGCCACAACCATCTGCTGCACTGCTCCATCCAAGGCACCAATAATCTCATCCTTCGTCTTCTTCTCCATCTGCAACGTCGATGATTTCGTTCGTCGCGACATCAACATCGCCTTGTGGCGAGACAGGTCATTCATCTTGGTGCGCAGCATCAGACGGTACTGCAAGGAGGAAAGGATGGTAGTCTAAAACACTGCGCAGGGATTTGTTGCCAGAAAGACAATTTCATGTGGAAAGGGCTGACTTTCTCATTGCACAATGATAGGGAGGAGTTGGCCAACTGCAATCGACTGGTCCATACAACTCCATGTTCTTCCACACCTCTCACTCAACCAATCAGACAAATGCATTTGTTTTCTAGTTGCAGTCATTCAGACACAGCACTTATTCACTAACCATAAAAGACAGTCGCATGTCGCGTATGAGCCAAATCAAAAAGGCACATACCTAACACAAGAACTTGTCAAATCTGGGCAGCAATTATTGGAACTCTGAATGAGCAATGCTTGGACAAGTGGTTCACAATTTTTGAAGAAAAGTAACAAATTACACACCAAAATTATTCCCTCTTCATGCTTTTGAACACGCTCCAGTTTACCCTCTTGCTCTTGGTCCTCCTTGTGGTTCTGCCTCCGATGCTTCGCGAGTCGAGAGAGCTTCGCCCCAATGGTGTGGTTGGGACGTGGTGAAGTCACGTCGAAAGCAGAATGGCAGTGGAAGCAGGACACTGTCATGAGAGTGGCACATGACTGCAGACAGGGCTGCAAGCAAAACGTGTGCCCACAGGGAAGACTGTAGGGATTACGCATCCTTCTCGGCATAATAGAAAATACAAACAAAGCTCACTGCTTCTTTGCCCAGGAATGTTTGTAGACTCAATGCTCAACAATCTGACTATTCCTATATGCGGTTACTGTCACTGCCGTAAAAGAGCCTATTGTTTGAAAAAATACATGAGACATTGCAGAGTTGAGGAAGCCACAAATTTGATTAACCGCAAATTTGTGAAGACTTCCACTTCATTCCTGCAGTCATTTCAAATTTTGTGGACTTCCACGTTTCAAATCTAGGACGCTAAAGGCGTTGCATACCAATCTAATCGACACATATCTCTGAGCATACACTCTAAGTTGAGTCGTGTCCTACTCTTCTCAGGCAAATCTCAACCAACTGGTAAAGAAAGGTGACCTTAACTCACACTCTGTGTTTACATTCATTATTGACCTAGTGCCACAAAACAAGTCAATTTTCGGCAATAAACTCACAACTTTTTGCACACTCCACAGATGAGGTCCGCATCAGTCGATTCCATCGCTTTGCCACACTTTCCTCTAATCGAGTAGCTATATGTGCCTCACACCACTTTTGCCATTCCTACAGCTCAACTTTCTTGGAAGTGTAACCAATCGGTACAATGCGTTAACATAGCTACACCAATAGTTTTACCTGTATGATCACGGTTGACACACATGATGCGAACCAGGCCCTGCCAATTGAG